TTTTCCCTTATGTCACAAAAAATGAGAAAACGTCTTCAGAACATCTTGGGTAACAGTTGGCAGCACCTCAGAGTCTGGAGATACAGTATTTTCTTGGCTGTTTCTGTTCCAGTCTCTTTAGCTGCTGATCTCTCTAAGCTGTGGTGCTATGTTGATTCAAGTTAGAGTGACTTTATTGTCTTTGTCTAGAACTCTGAGTCAGATCTGTGATTCTGAATTCACTGTCTTGTGCTCATTTCTACAATCTGTCCCTAGAGTTCTGTTTTAAAATACTGGATTTGGTATTTTGGTCTCTTCTAGGATACATGGGGATTTGGGATAGGATTTCTCATGAATGGGATCCAGATAAAGATATTTAGTTTCTGAAGTCTCTAGGCAAAATACCAGAATCATTACAGTTTTCAGAGGTTACCCATAGGTAACTTAAGCCATTGCTTTTTGCTGCCAGAAGAGTTGGCAGATGAATACTTAATGATTCCATCTTGAATTCAGATGCTCCAGTGAGCTGTTGAAAATGTCTAACACCCAATGAAAAGTTTTTAAGAATGTGCAGATGTAGACCCAAAACACTCCCCAAAGTAACTCTAATGCAGAATAAGGCTGGTGGAATGTATATAGCTGGGGTGGCCTGGAGAACATGCAGCAAAAGCTTGGAGGGGAGAATTCCTCAGTGTTGGAACAGAGATCAATATTTAGGACACTTGTCACCAAGACTGAAAAGCACAAGATGGACACTTGATTGGAAGAAGGATGTTTTATCATCCACTTTGAAACTGATTCCTTAAATAATCAAGCCACCAAGCTGCGGGAGTTTAGAGATGGAATTCACTAAGTTGTCCTCAAGAGAAGCAAGCAGTGAAAGATAAAATCAAAATTTATGATGAAGTTCTGTCTTGGAAAAAGGCTTATTTTCCACTTCAGCCTATTTTTTTGTGTTTATTAAATAGGATTCATATTTAATAGTTAGGAAAACCAGTTCAACAAAGAAGTGTTTGAGGAAAAAAATACTTACGCAAATGGGGATCTGCACACGTTGGTCCCAAAGATAAACACCTGTGTCTTACAAAATATTTCTTTGGGTAACGCAAGAGAGAAAGGAGTTTAATTAAAAGGTGGGGACTTTGTTGTAAGAAGTGTGAAGTAACATGCCCACTGGCACATGAATGTAGTCTCTGGTGGTGGATGAGCTTGTAGGTGATATGCTCGGAGAAGCAGCAAGGCAGAGCAAGGAGCTGCACTGCTTTGGATCATCACAGTGAGGGCAGAACAGCACTGCACCTTCCTGAGAGCCACCGAGTCTGGAAGCAGTGCTGTCAGAGCATCCCCAGGAGAAGCTGAACAGGATTGCTTTTTGGAAAAAATCATGTAAGGGACAGAGAAGTTGTATGCACTCCGCAGACACTGTAACTGAGCATTCCCTCCCTATTGGCTGTGTTCTCTGTTGCAGACAGTCTGCAGGATAATTTATTTTGAAAGGACAAAAGCAGAAAAATCGTGCAAATTTTATAATAAAAGCTTTGGAAGTTAAGTGGACCTGAACTGCAGTAACATGGTTGACCACAGCCAGAGCTTTGCACCTTGCACATACTGTTCTTCTAAACGTAGGCAACACATCACAACCTCAGCTTATCCAATAATGAATGCAGCATCTTCAACAGTGACTATGTCTCATCCATTAAACCAGAATAAAAATAATTAATTAGTAAACATATATTGCTGTATGGTGATCTCACATGTGGTACAACAGTACCCAGGAGCACGGTGGGAGCAGAGAAACTGTGTTATGAAGAAGCCTCTGCAACAGGAATACCAAGAAAGGGAGGAGGAGATGGTATCTTCATTGTGAATCTGACAGTACAGGTCTGGAAGCTCAGAATATGGCTCCAAGTGAATGTGTGGTCTGAACTACCCACTGGTTTCATGGCAAAAAAATGTTTGAGTCTTCTTTGTGAGCAGTTGTGAATGTGATTTCCAAACGTAAAAGTACATTGGCTTGCTATATGTGTGTAGAGGGTTATGAGTAAATATTCTGATGTCTAAAGGAATACTTTGTCCTGAATAATGCATTAACAATTTATGTATGTAATTATTTGTTAAATGGCTTATTTCTGCAACTTCATAGAAAGCTTCTCTCTCTCTAGAAAGGTTGATATTTTAAATTTTTGATAATCCCTGTAGAGAGCTGACTGATAAAAACAACATTGACAAGATTACAGGAGTTGAACAACAGGAACAGGATAAGGAATAGGAATACCAAAAGAATTACATGTCTTTTTATTTGCTACCATACGTAATCTGTTTAATGAATAGGTTCCCCTTAAATTTCATAATAATATGATGGCTGTATAACAGTGTTCATATTCTCTTGGTGCAGTTTATGATAATAGAAATCACTCTGCAGAAACAAGGCCAAAATGTATCCTAGAACGTAAATTTCATAATTTTTAAATTTGAGAGAAAAGCTACAACTAATTATACAGGACACTCAGTGCATTCTGTAAGGCTTATTCAAGTGTGAATTTCTGTAAAGTGTTTTTTCCAAAGAAGAAAATGGTTTATTATCATATTAAAGACTGACTTTGTAGATTCTCTTCGATTTTATTGTTTGTATTTTCACCAGATTTTGCTATGAGGAAACAATTTAGAGGACAGCAAATATCTGACTGTATCTGGCCTAGAGTGTTATGTGTAAGCAGAAATTCTAATTTCCAGAACAGGAAACAGAGCCTGTGGAAGGGAAAGGTTAATTGCAAAGTCCCTTAAAACAACAACAAAAAATTAGGGAAATGAGTATCACGGCAAGTAGTGCCATTAATCGCTAAGCATCATTATGGTAAGAGAACAAACAGTTTTTCTAATGTGCAATTAGCAAAAGAGCACTCATTTTGTAATTATAAAAGTGGAGAGATTTAGCTGTGGCATTTAGTTTCTGTAGTTACAATAAGAAGTGATACTGTATTCAGTGGTTGCTATCAAATACACTCAGGTAAAACCAGTAATTGCTATGACAGCAAATCCAGATTGGATGCTTCTCCTCTGGTGACTCACACCCAGCAGGAAGGGCTGTCAGTTCCATCAGACATTGCTTTACCTCACACACACATTGCTTCCTGGGTTGCAGAGATAAATGTCACTGGAGCTGTTACAGTCATGGAAACACGGAGGGAAAGGAAGCTCTCCCTTTGTTAATCCCTTTGTTAATAGAGAATGTTCATATTCTTGCTTTTCAGGTTGGTCTGGTGTGTGAGAATAGCTTCAGTATGGAATAGCATCCAAGGGGCACAGGGGAGTGGTGGGAGCTGCGGGTGGGTGGGCAGTGTTGGGCTTGGCCCCAGACCTCTGGATAAGCCAGCCAGCCTGAGCTGTGCTTTCATCTCAGGTGAGAGCAGCATGTTCAATTCAGGCAGCAGATGAAGTCATGTTTGCTAGAGTGGTACCTTGAAATTAAAGCCCAGATTACATCAGGAAATACTGTCGCTCAAAAATCACCCAAGCTAATGGAGTTATACAGAAATATGCTTTGGTTAGTTCTAGCTGGTCAACCTTTTGGAGCTTTTTCTCAGATTGTCCTAATTGACTTGTTCAAGTGACCTCTGCTGTTAAATTCTCACTCTGTGTGATTTGTAGAGGTTTTTGCTTATTATCTTTGGAATAAGACTAGCAGAAATCGGATGCAGAAAGTCCACCTTTAAACTGGTAGTTGGATTTTGGAAGATGCTGCCCCTGCACTAGTAACACTGAATAATTTATGCAGAACCTCAGTCTTTATAAAAAATTTAAGAGCCAAAGTCCAGATCTCCAACACATTTTGGTTTTGCTGGGGCATCTTGGCACCATGCCGTGGTTCTGCAGTGCCTTTTCTCCTTGCTGCAATTTATGCTCAATAAGCTCTTGATCAGGCAGTCCCACCAAATTCTGCTCAGTTCAGTCTTGAACAATTCCAGATGCTATAACCATTCTTGGATATTTACTTAATAAAAGGTTAAAGTCGAGTCATCGAAGCCATATTCTTTCACTCAGAAGCGATGGTTCTGAATAGGCACAGAAATTGTTGTTGGAAGAGAAAGTTTTTTAATTGTACTTTTCAGGGCAAAAAAACCTCACTCTCAAATGAGCTGCCTGATTCATGGGGACAGGTAAGAACTATGTTGCATGGAGTGTTACCAACTGTAACACTTACAAAGATACTGAATGTGTAGGGATCTTTGTGGAATTTTTGCACATTGAAGCATTATCAGAGGAAGTCTGTAAGTTTAAATGTTGGTTGGCTGTTTTTCTATAAAGAGAACATAATGTGAACTGAACCAGTATTCTGTAACAGATAAGAATAAAGCAAGCTAAAGAGATAATAATCTGGGAAAAGTCATTAATGATGTTTATTAAAGTTTTGAGTATCATCAGATGAGGCTCTTCTGATACATTACTAATCAGAACTGTTTTATTCAGAAGGCTTTTCTGCTCTTCGTTTTCATCAAAAAAGTTTCTGTTATCTTTGGACCAAGACTTCGGGTTATTTATTTTGTAAAATAATAAAAAGTTTTATTATTCACAAGATATTTAAAGGAAAAAGTTCCACTGGATTGTTAAACATCAAATATAGTTTTTCTTTAAAATAGGAAAAGAATCAAGAATCATATCAAGTGTCTTGAGATGGCAGACAAACATATGTTCTTAAGTAATTTCAAATGGGGATTTTTGGTTTTATTCTCAAATAGGTCTTCCTGGTCTTTCATTCTGTTTTTGCAATCCCACTTCCTTAAGTCATCATTTCTTCGACATATCAAACACAGGCTTACCTTCCAAAATGTGGGATAATCCCCTTCCTTATTTAAATCACTCAGTTTCTCATCAGCATCTGCCTTCACCAAGCCAGTGACTATTTTCAGATACTCATTTTGCTTATCAGACAAGCCCTTTCATGTTTTATGCCATTATGCCATTAACAAGAGAAGAAATATCCTCACAGGCAAGATTAGTGATGGCTCCCTGTTTTCCTTCAGCTGCTTTTGTGACCTGTGCCCTGCTCTGAGGGGACCTGTGGGGAAGAGTGAGGCAGGAAAAGAACTGAAACAACTGTGGTTGTCACTTCTGAGAGTTGAAGAGTTACACGGTCTGCTGCATTATCATAAAGGAGATACAGCTTGGTCAAGACTTTTGTGACTAACAATAATAAATTCTAGGAGTGTCCCACATATATAGGTATTTTACAAGTGTGGTTGTTAATATGAAATGGGAACTAGTGCCTGATGTAGTGTTTGGTCCTGCTGTTTGCTCCCCGTCACCGCTGTGTAAAAACTGCTTTTGAGGTTGTTATTTATTTGAAAGCTGCAAAGTGCATTGTTTCAACTTTCTACATTTTGAGTTAATTTATTACACTGTGGAGGGCAAGGACTTCCTGAGCTTCACTCAGGACTCTTCTATTTATGTATGGAGAAATAATGAAGGAAATTCTAGCTTCCTCTTAGCCTCTGAAGACTTCCCACCATTTGTTCTATGAAATGAAATTAGCTAAATTAAAAAATCTTTATGCTGCTATTCTTGCATAATCTGTAGTGCATTGCTATATTCAGTAATTTCTGAATAAATAAATGCTTATAAAATAAATGCTTATTGTTTAGATATTTTGCACATGGAATTCTTATCAGTCTGTCAACTTAAAGACTTCTTGGGTTGGAGTTTGTATTTGTACTTTAAACTTGGTCTGTTTACTTTTAGGAAAAGTTAATTTCATTCATGTCTTAATGATAATTTGTTGTGTTGGTGAATTTATTGAAATTATTATTATTATTATTATTATTATAATCTATTATTATTATCTCCTTCTGGCTTAAAAAAAAAAGCCCTGACTTCAGAGCTTCAACAGGTATCAACAATGACAATTTACAAGGTGTTGTTGTAGTAGCAGTGTCAGTATGATCAGGGTTAAGATTGATAACTCGTTCTTCATACTTGCATGGTTCATGGCCTCTTCGTGGAAGTTCAGAGTTAGTGTCTTCATCTGGTATATTCCATGATATTTTAACCAAAAGCATGAAATGAAGAATGTCATTCTTAGGCTGAGGCATTTCCATTTCACTAGGTCATAGTGGAGTTGCAAGAGTCAAAATATATTTGATAGCTCTGAACTTTCTAATTCCACCTGCTTGTATTTCAAAGTGCTTGCAAGCTGTGTTTTTGTTTACCTTTTGATATCTATTTTGCATATTTGTACGTTGATTGTAGTAGATCCTGCTAGTGCTCCTGGATAACATCTTAGTAGTTCTATTTGCTTTCAGAGCCTTTACAGATGCAGAGACTGTCTGCAGGGATCTGCTGCCTCGTTTGGAGGAGCCCCAGGGTGAAGGCATAGAGCCATCAGGTAAGCATGATCCTTGGAAGATCTTCGATGACCCTTGGAAATTTGACCTCTTCTTAGATTTTTTTTTAAATGTAATTTTTGTGTCTATTCTAGCAGGTTTTGACTGACAATTTCTTAAGGCTCAGTTAATGAAAGACAAAATTAAAACTGAAGTGAGTCAGGGCAGCTGAAAATTTTTCAGGAGTTGCCTGCAAATTTGCATATGTTTCTGCCAGTCTTTGTCTGTATTTGAAATGATGACTAGATAAAAATTAAAAATAGCTTGATCCTATTGAGAATCATGCAAATTGTTGTGTTACCTTTGGCATCACAGCCTACTCACCAGCTGTCACCTGGGGAGGATTTGGTGTGCAGTGTAATGACTGGAGGCTTAAAAAAATATATGTGCTTTGGTCAATTCTGTGTTGCAGAATCAGAGCATGTGCTCACTGGTGTTATTTAATCCAACTGCAGTGCTGAATGGCTTGCCTGAATGTGCTACCATGTGGCTTAAAGGAGGTTTGCTAGCAGAACTTTCTGAGGTTCTTTGGAAGGTTTGCAGCCCTAAGAGAGTTCCCTATTGCCTTGGAGAGGCTGCTGCTGGTATCTAAATGTGCTCATTAAAACAAAATATTGTTCTAGGAGAAAACTGAAGCAGTGAGCATGTAGCTATCTGATCTATGTAGGAATCTTGCATGCAGACTTTTTACATGTGTATAAATATTTATCTGTATGGATATATAGTTACTTTTCAATTGGCAGGTCTTTGATATACAGTAGGGTTCTTTCCAAGAAGTGAACTGCTAGGTGTATGCTTTCAGTGAGCAGGAAATAAATGTAGATGAATAAAGGCAAACTCCTGCTTTCAAATTTACAGAGTGTCTTACTGCACTGTTTGAGCTACACAATCTCTATGTAGATTGTCAGCGAGACTGATTCTGCAGAGTGCTTGTGTGCTTGTGAAGGCTCTGACCTATTTTCCTAAGAATTTATCTGGGACAGTGGTTAATGCTGTCAGCTCCCTACCTGCTTCTCTTCCAGAGGTTGCTGCAGTTTAGAGAAGTAAGCTGGGCTGTAAAGCAGTGCTCCAGCAGGAATGCACATGTCATTCAGCCACTCCTGCAGGGGTGACCATAGCCTGTGCCACGAAGGTGAGGTGAACAGCTAAGGATAGAAGCCATTCCAGCTGTTCCATCGTAATTATCCTGCAAACACAGGCCACACCTTATCCATTTTAATTAAGCAGTTCCTTTATTGGTATTTAGGTATGTTTTTAGCTGATGAATCAGGAGCTTACAATTTGTTAGACTTTGTCTTCTATTTGACTTTGGGATCTGTGGCACTACTTGTTATCCATTTAAATGGGAAGCAGTGTTTAACTTGGAAACATAACACTGCTATGGAGACTTTGAGTGGTGAAGTGAGGGCTGAATTTCAAAAACTCCTCCCAAAAGATCTTTCATGAGAAGGAAGTTCGGTGACTGGTTGCAGGAGGTCTACATTGTATGTAAAGAGAAAAGGAGGAGATTCTGATATCTTCTAGTTGTTCAGAACTGACTTCCTTGCTTTATAATTGATACATTCTGCAATCTCAGGAGTAAATTTATCTAATGAGGACCACAGGTTGTTCTGGAATTTTTCCCCCATTGTTTTCTACCAATGTATAGAAGCTCATTCCTGTGGAACCAGGCCAGATTTGGGGTTTTCTAATGCATATGTAAATCCAGAGTACCTTTACTGTTGGCAGCAGGCATTATATTGACTTAAAACCAGTGTGAAGTTAGAAGAGAATTCATCCATGCTGGTTTTATACTGATGGAATCAACAAAATAATTTATGTCAGAAAAGAGCACTGGAGGGCAACTGGGACATCTTTCTGCTCGTAGGAATCCTTGTGGCTTTGTTCAGCTGAGTTTTGAAAACCTCCAGGGAAATTGTACAGCTTCTCAGTACCTCTTCATAGGCTGAGTCACCTATATTGTGAAATTCTTGATCCAGCAAGAATTTTCCTTGCTGCAGCTTGAGTCAGTTGCCTCTTGTCCTTCTGCTGTGTGCCTCTGAGAAGAATCTGTTTTCATCATAGTACCTGCTTCAGTCTTTGACAAACTGCAGATAGATTCATTTTTTATCTTCTCCAGACTGGAGAAACACAGTTCCTGCAGGGATTCTTGTACGTGGTCTGCTCCAGACCCCTGACTGGCTGGGAGTCCCATTTTTGGGCTTGTGCCAGTTTGCTTGTCAGGATCTCTCTCTTGCACACTGTTTCAGGGACAACCTCAGGGACAGTGAGTAGGGGGAAATAATCCCTTTCCTTGGTCTGCTGGCTTAATCTTGCCAGTGCAGCCAGGAGTGTAGTTAGCCTTCATCTCCATTGGGCCACACAACTGACTGGCAGCCAGCCTGTCCAGCAGAACCATGGGGGTTCTGCTGAGCCAGCTGCCATCCAGCCCATGCTGTGCTATGGGGCTGTCCTCCCCAGAGTGCAAGACTTGGCTTCACCCTTTTTGAGCTTTCAGGTTGCGTCAGCCCATTCTTCCAGTGTGCTGAGGTCCATCCAGATGGCCTCCCTGCCTTTTGTCCTGTTGATCACTTCCTCAGGTTTGCTCACTGAAGCTGGTGAGGGTGCATTCTATTGTCCAGGACAACAGTGCCATCATTGTTCAGTGTCATTCTCACAAGTAACCCCTGAAGAATGTCACTTGGAATTGACTGCTACCAAGACTTAGAATTGTTGACCACTGTTCTTAAAGACTACATGTCCAGTCAATATTTTATCTACCTGTTCATCCAATTACAGCTGGTTCAAACCTTCCAAGGATGCTGGGCTATGTAGAAGTTGTCAAAGACCTTGTTAAAGATAGAGTAAGCAATGTGCTGCTACTCTCACTTTGTCAGAGCTAGTCAACTCATCTTAGAAGGCATGTGTGTTATATTTACAGGGCCAAGTCAAGGGTGGCCATTCCGGCTGGTTTCAGTCACCATTTTATAGCTCAAAATTATTTCTAGGAAGAGTTTTTTCTATAGCATTTCCATGGACTGAGGTGAGGCTGATTGGCCCTTGGTTTTCTGCATCCTCTTTCTTCTGCTCTTTGAAGATAGGTGTGGCCTTTACTTTTTTTCTCGTGATGGGGACCTTACCAGATCGCTGTGCTTTCTTGAAGATGACAGAGAGAAGCCTTGGGATGGCTTTGACCTGGTTTCTCAGTGTCCACTCTGAAGGACCCCATCTGGTCCCATCAGCTCTTTTGTATGTGTCCAGTTTATGTAAGTGCTCCCTACTTTGATGTTCTGCTGCTGTAGGTAAAACATCTCGCCTTCCACTAGGCATGCAAGCTCAGGAAGCCTGACCTTGCCAGTAAATACCTCGGTGGAGAAGGCCCTGAGAGCATCAGTCCTTTGCATGTCTTGTGTCAGTGAGTTGCCCATAATATCACTGGTTTTCCCTCTGGTTGCCACTGTACCTGTAAAAGCCCTTCTTGTGACTTCTCACATTACTCACCAATTTCAATTCCGAGTTTTGACTTTCCAATCCTGCATGCCTGGGCAATGTTTCCTCCTGATTACACCCTCCACACGCTTTCATTTTGGTGCATCGTAATCCGTTTTAGAAGCGTCAGTATTGTTATGAAGCTTATTTTGTACGTGTCCTGGTGCACCACTCCCTCCACGTCAGCTCGTGGAGGCATTCTTAGGAGGATATCTTATTTCTCTGGTCCACACTATAGGGGTTTACTGATGTGAAGAGCAGTATGTTTTATTGTAATTAATAATTGTTCCCTTTTCCTGCAGTGGAAAAAGTAGAAGTTTCCATTAATTGAAATATTTTTGTGTGTTTTGGCTAATTTAAAATTATTTCCTCTATTTATTGTCTTTCCTGTTAGGGAGGGTAAAATTATTTGTTTATTGTGGAAAACTGGTAATATAGCAGAAAACCCTTTTCCTCCCCCAGCTGTGGCAAGACTAGCCACGGGAGCTAGTTCGTGTGTTTTATTGGAAGAATCACTGTGTGTTTAGGCTGGTTGAGACTTTCAGGTTCACTTGAAATTCCAAAATTCTGTACCTTTGTTTAATCTGTTCATTGGCCCAAGGAGAAGTTTGGCACAGATGCCAAGCTTGCAGACTCTAAACAGTGTGTATTCAGCTCCAGCTCTTACTAATATGAAGTTAATCTTTCAGGGCCACAGACATCTTGAAGAAAAGTGAAAAATAGTGGGTGAGAGGAGGAATGGTGTATTTCTGTTGACAGCAGAATGTGACGGCGTCATAGCTGTGAAATCTTGGATGATGACTGACAGGAATGCCTCCAGCAGAGAGCTGAATTCCTTCTCTCGTCATTAGGGCGGAGTGATGTTTTGCAGCATCTGGCATGTAATCAAGACCCTGTTTTGTGAGTTAAATCTGATTAATTTTCAAGCAGAAGTTAAATTACTGGTTTACTTCTTGCTTCGCAGGGCATATCTATGGAATATCACTTGGAGTTTCTCAGGTCATGCAGCAGGGCCATTCCACAATCAGCCTGTCTGTTTATCTGTCTGAAAGGTGACCTTGGGTCTTTTGCATTTTATATGACTCTCAGAGCTGTTCTTCCGTAAACATCTGAATTCATTTACATTCTCAAACCCTTTCTGGCAGTCACCAGAATACTTGCAGGTCAGGTAGTGAACAGAAGGTTTCACAAATGATATTGGCTTTAAGCTGTAGGATTTGTGTATTTCTCTTGATTTCTCTTGATCCTTCATGTATCCCAGAGGTCCAGCAGTTTCAGCCAGATTGATTATGCATGGGGAAAAAAATTATTTGTTTGTCTATTTAAAGTAATTTTTCATATCTGAGCTTGTACTATGTCAGAACTTTCTATTTTACATGGTGGAAGGAATAAACTGGCTGTTAAAAAAACACAAAATGTGTAATGTGTTCTATGTTGTGTATAACTTCAAACTTGGTATCAAATATTTGAATAACAAATGTACTTTTATAACACAGTATTCACACGGAAATGGTTCATAAGTTTAGGATTATATTGTAAAAGATCAGCTGAAAACTGCAAATGTGTCTTTTAAGGGGTTCTGCACTACTTTTTTCCTCCTGTTAAGTTTCTTGTTGAAAATTTACACTTTAGTTCCGATCTTGGTGGGAAAACTGCCCATCTAAAACCCTGGATATTTAGATCAGCTTTTCTTAGAACAGTTCCCAAGACAGGCTGCAGTACAATGATCCTTTTATAACTTCTGAATGAGACTACCCTGAGCCATCTCTTCCTTCAGCAGGGAAGGCTGTGAAACATGGAAATTGAAGTCTGATTATGGAGTTTTTGGCCTTGGAGGAGAATGACATAGGGAAAAAAGTGTCCCTCCTCATCCTCAAACAGTGACAGTCCAGATTTTATTACCTGAATAAAATCTCTGCTCTTCTTGTTTTATCTGACAATATAGCCTTCTTTAAGTAGAAATCTTTTTCCAACATCTCTGACCTTCAGAATTCATATGAAGGACACGAGCCAAGGTCACATAGTAGTGGATGAAAAAGCATTTTGAGTATGAAGTATGGTGCAGGTAGCAGGAGTTAGTGGAAGAAAGAGGAAAGGAACTACGATTGTGTTCGGGGGTCTCAGGATGAGGGAAGAGATGAGAATTTTGACTTCATGTTTCAGAAGGCTGATTTATTGTATTATGATATTATATTATTTTAAAATGCTGTACTAAAACTATACTAAAAAGAATAGAAAGAAAGGATTCTTGAGAAGGTTAACGAGGAAAGGAAAGGAATAATGACAAAAGCTCGTGACTCTCAGAGAGTCCGACAGAGCTGAATCTTTGATTGGTTATTAAGTAGAAACAACTCACATGGATCAATCAAAGGTGTTGGTAAACAATGTTCAGACCAACTTCCACAGCCATCAAATAGTTATTATTTACATTTCTTTCCTGAGGCTTGTCAGCTAGAATAGGAGAAAAATCCTAGCAAAGGATTTTCATAAAAATATCATAGTAACAAGGAACAACTGCTCTTTGCTTGCATACAGAAAACTTTCAGTGGCATCAAGTGCTTTGAGCTGGAGTGCTGGGTTTTTTCCTTGTACTCTGTGAAGATGTATAATGTACCAGTGCTAAGAGTGTATATTGAGGGGTTTTGTTCTGATCTCCACTTTGGTTTCAGGAGGTGCTGAGTTGATTTCCAACATGGACATTGCAGTTTAACTTTCGGATGCTACTGAGGCAGAACACCTGTTTTGCTTCTTCCAACATTTATAATTGATGCATTTAGTATTTAGCCAGGCATTCCTTCCCAGGCACTTTCTACGAAGAATAAGCCCTCTGCTCAAAATCCCTCTGCAAACTGGCAGAGGAATATATTGTTCATGTTACGTTGTTTTTACTAACTCTGTGGACAGACAAATGAGATTTTTAGAATTATTTGGCTTATTGAGATTTCAGAACTGTTTTAAGTTCTACCTGCAAATACATGCAAAAGCAGACACTAAATGGGCATTCAGGTTTATATTTGTTTACGCTGTATCTTGAGTATTATTAAGGTGATGCACAGAGTTTCTGAAAGTGATTCTGTTCCTTGTCTTTGATATGAATCAAAGATGCCTTTTTAACAGCAGAGAAACCTGCATAAGGAAAACAAAAGGAAACCCAGTTTTCATGTACATTTTTGGTTTCTGTGTATAGATATTTCAGGGATTTGATTTATTTTCATTATTCTCTGGGGGCAGTGCTGTTATCTGCTGCACATGTGAAGTGAAAAGACCATATTTAATGCAACTTCTGTGCTGTTATTGTAGTAATGTTGCTAGTATTTTCCGTTTCCTTCAAGAGAGGAATGTGTTTGTTCAGGAAAGTTTGTAATATATGGACCAGAATGTTGTATTTTAGTGCTGTATGGTATGATTTTGTTTTGAACAGAGCAGTCACCTACCTGTGTCCAAGCACACCTGCAATCCCTGATACCTTTGTTTTGGAAGCCAGAACATCTATATATATAATTTTTCATCTGGGCTTTGGTGTGTCACTGCATACAATAAACATTTGGATTAACAATAGCTTCTGTCTCTGACAGGTCTTACCTCTCATCCTTTTCACGCCTGCTTTGGGGTTAAGTGCAGAAACAGCTGCTTTGCCTTCTCAATTCATAAAGTATTTATTGGGTGCGACTGCTTACACTTTGATAAAGTCTGTCTGTTACCTAAACTCCTTCACAGCAATTTGTTTCTAAACTGTCTGGATTTATGATGCCCTTTCTCCACTGACCTAAGCACAGCTCCGCACCTGTGTTTTGAAAATCATTATGTGCCATTTACTCATGAGAAAATGAAGGCACTTGGAGATGAAGCAGCTTAATTTGTACTTACTGTTGTCATTAGCACCTTCTGTTTGTCAAGAGAACAGTGCAAATCTGCCAGCCAGGAGCAGGAATGGAATGAAATGTTTGTGAGCTTACAGTAGTTTGCTGTGCCTCTGGCTCTTAGTGTAGGCTGCAAGTGTATTCTAAAGCACTGGTGTGGATCCAGCTATGGCTGATGTGTTCCTGTATTGCCACAAGTTTTCAGAGAGGCCAGACCTCTGAAGCAACTAGAATAGCATTGAGAGGGGTGTTGTGTGTTGAGAGATGCATGTTGTCCTTTTGAACACTCCAAAACTGCTCTTTTTCAGCCACTGAGGTAGCAGGAAACAGCACAGATACTAACTGAGCTTGCTTTACAGTTTTTGCTTTCCATAGGTGTAGTAAAATGCAATTATGCTTGTTAACTTGTATTAGGAATTACAAAAAGTACTCTTTTCTGTTACTCTTAATTCTTACAAACCCAAGCACTTTGGTCTGAAATTTTTTCACCAGCTCACTGTAGAATATATCAATTTTTTACACCTGTGCTAAAAATATTGCTTCATTTATGAAAGTACATCTAAGGAAAAAAAAATTCGTAAAAAACTATTTTGTTCATAAGTATGGGAACTGTTTGATGGGGGAGTCGTGGGAGGGTTTGTGCTTTCCTTGTGAGAATTCACCTGAATTTTGCCAACTTATTACCCCTAGATCCTCTAAGGAGTGTATTCACACTCAGCCTCTTGCAGGGGTTGCAAGAGCCAAGGACAGTCTTTGAGGCAGTCATTTCTTGTGAGTGCCAGGGACTGTCCCAGTCCTTGGCACCAGTGGTGAGAGCCAAGTAACATTTTTTGGTGCTCTGCATCTTTGTCCTGTCAAAGAAGGGGAGAAAAAACACAGGGAGAAAAAAGTGGATGGTATAAAGACAGGGTGAGGAAGACAAGAACAGAAGATGAAAAATGGAGCCAGGGCAAGACAGGAGTGAGTGGAATGGACGCATTAGGACATGGGACACATGACCAAGGGTAAAACTGTGGGAAGTAGTGAGGAACAGGGACAGGATGAGGGAGAATAGCTGGAGGGGCAGGAGGGAGGGAAGAGTTATAACACACAAAAGGAGCTTGGATACTGAACAGGGGTGGAGGTTTCATATTTTTTGCATCTCTTTAGCCTTCTGATTCACCAGCTACTCCATTGGCACAAGGGGGTGTGCAGAGCTGAGCGCGGGCAGACAGATTCTTCTGGAACTGGGGGTATGCCTGCAACACACAGATCATCAATATAATTCTGTATGGCACTTTCGTTCAAGATGCAGAACAAAGTACAAGAAATAAAGATTTCTATTTCTACTTGGTATATTTGAGAGCAAGAGAATTGGAAAGCCCTTCTCTCAAGAGCTGGGAAGTGCCAGAGTTGTGCTTAGTCCTGTGGTCTTTATTCAATCCTCTTGTCTTCTGGTACACAGTCACATGGTGTTTTTCGACTGCAGATTACCTTGACAATGGTGCTTTACCTTCCAGAGTCTCTGTGGACTTCTTTTGCTGATGGCAGAGTCAGACTGAGAATAGATAACTCATGCCCACAGACTCCCATAACAGTTCATCAGATGTTCAAGGAGAGCCTGGAAAAATATGGATCCCTTAATGCTTTGGCCAGCAAAAAGAATGGAAAATGGGAGAAAATAACTTTTTCAGAGTATTATTGCCTCTCTAGGAAAGCAGCCAAGAGCTTCTTGAAGGTAGGTGCATTTCTTTAAAAACCAAAAAAAAACCAAATTAATAAAAGAACCCCAACCCCAAACCCCACGATATATAAGAGGTTTTTTGCATTACTTGAAGATCAGTAGTCATATTCTTTATTGAAATGATAATGATGAAAATGAGTTTTGCTCAGAGGTAACACTGCTGTCAGGGAACCTTGACTGCAAGTGAGGAGCTGCTGTGTTACACTGTGTCTCTGGGACATGGGTGCAGAGCTCAGAAGAGCTCAGCAGCCTTAAGATCAAAAAAGAAAAATAGGGGAAAACTACTATCATGAATGCTCTTGTTCATATTGAAATATTCTGGGTCTTGAGCCTTTCTGGGCAGTGGAGTTCAAGCAGACAGGAGAAGGCAGTGGAAAATTCACATCCTGTTAATTGCTGGTAAATACCAGGTTTGCCATGGATACCAAAACATGCCTTCACATGCCTTGTCAGTACTGTAATAATAAATCAAAAGTTTTCATGGTTTATATTTGTGTGTATGTTTCTCTCCAGTGGGCCTATATTATATAACCGTATGTACATTATTTTTAAGCTTGGTCTTGAAAGATTCCATAGCGTAGCAATCCTTGGATTTAATTCTCCAGAATGGTTCATCTCAGCTGTTGGAGCTATTTTTGCTGGGTAAGATTTTTTTGGGGCGGTTAATTTTTGAGGGGGATTCAGGGATTTCTATTTTGCTAGGTCTGTGAATGTATCAAGTCAGTATTTTGTGTCATATCTTGGAAGTTGTGTTGCTACTGATTGACACTTCCAGCAGCCTGCTGGAGTCTTATATCCCAAGTAGTTCAGTCACTCATAAATGGATCCTGTTTGCCGTGGGCTTAAGCATGACAGTCACACAGAAGCTGTTGTATAGGATCTTATCAATTGAAGATGTGGGAAATAGATGAGAATCACAGTTTTATATTAGTTATAATAATACAATATTAATGATATCTACGATAAAATATAATCAAGCAGGTGAAGTAACATGAATATTAACTACCCTGATTTCTTTGGTTCTGATACCTGTTAATTTGGATTTTACTTCTTAAGCTGTTCTGTACCAATGAAATCCAGATTGGTATCTGTGCCCAGCTTGAACAAAAAGAGGACATAAGTGAGGATTTTTTTACCACTTCCTGAGCTAACTCTTGTGTAACCTTAAGTGAGTTAAAACACTGAGTCCTAGCATCTTCTGCTGAATAGTTTAGAGATTAGTTTTTGCAATGAGCATAAATCAGAGATTCATGTATATCTGAATATGTGAAACAAACATTAGAACTGTTCTGCTGTTTGCTTCCACATCTTCATACCCCTTCAGGTTTCATCTGATCTTTGATTATTATTCTTTTTTTATACTACGTGCATGTGTATGTGTGTGTATGCATATAAATGTGTGTTCTTATATGTATAAATGTTTTGATGCAGAGGAATTGTCACAGGAATATATACAACCAATTCTCCAGAGGCCTGTCACTACATTGCCCATGACAGCAGGACTGATGTCATGGTTGTGGAAAATCAGAAACAGCTGGACAAGATAATGCAGGTACAAGGTGGCTGAATGATTACTGAAAAGCTACAATTTTTCATTTCTCAATGCTGTGTTGGTCCCAAATACCTTGTACACTCTCTGTATGATGAAACCTTTCTTTGTGAAGTGTGTGTTGTTACTCAGAAATGTGGTATCCGGCGTCAGAGCTCTTGGGTGGCTCTGACCCTCTGCAGTGTCTGTGGCTCCAGCAGAGAACTCACTGGATGGTTCACTGCAGGCTTACCTGAAAAAACCCACATTTTGATCCCATGTTTTTACTATCACCACCTGATCCTGTTTGGAAAAGCACAGTCCCACTTGAGTGGAAGAGATTATGCTGATGCAGGTTTGTAAAGGTCTGCCATTTAAATATTAATGATGTCAGTGTTCAGAATTTTCTCTTTCCAAGTTATCATCTTTTCCTGCTTGTAATATCAGCCATTAAGGCTCTTGAGTTTACTGCACTTTGGTAGCATCATGATTAACATGAGACAGAGCTTAGTAAGAAAGCAGGAACCTCCTCAAGTGAACAGTCTCAATTTTGACAGAACTCTTGGGCAGCTGGGCCTGCCTTTCAGCAGCAGTGCCAGATGGAAAGACCAATCTGATGGCAAGGTGACTTGGGAGAGGAGCACAGGCAGCTCTTGGGAAGGGCTTGTCTGTCTGTCAGATGTTGAGGGAGGCCTGTGGGCTCATTAAACTTGCACCAAATTGCACCGTTTGCTGAAGCAGGAGAACCCTCCATGATGGAGCTTTCTGCCAAGACCACATACCTGCAAGAGAGAAAATATGCAGTGGTTTTTTTCAAATGTATTTAATATAAATTGTTCATTAATTACTTTGTATTTTGTAGTTGTGTTTTATATGCCATATGGAGGAAGAGAAATTTTTGTAAGTATTCTGTAAAAACACACAGATAAGCCTTCTGAGAGTGTCATTGACACAATACCAGGCTATGCTGTTGTGACATGGACAGAAGAATCCAAATGGAACAACTCAAGGGATTTGGTTCATACACATTATGCTGAAGAAGAGAGCTCTGGCCAGCACTGCTTTATCCAGCAGAGGGGTTTTTTGAAACTTTTTTTCTGGAACCCAAGACTGAAATAATAACATCTCAGTTGCTATCCTTCTAATATGTACATACTGGCTACCATTGAGCCACTGCTTTTGTATTGGCAACATTCAGTTCAAAATGTGATTAATTGAAAGGCATCTGTGAGGCATGGAGTCTCACAGAATTCAGTGAAATCAATGCTTCCTGTAGGCCATGCAAAGCACACAAAGAGCTGCTGAAAGCAGCAGCCACTCCTGTCTGCCTGCAGCTTTATGTTTTCATTTGTCCTTACAATGTGCGTACAGCTTCCTTTGATTTTTTTCCTTAAGGAAGTAGAACTTTTTTTAGCACTTGAACATCACTTTTTGGTGAGGGACTTTATTGGTAATCACAGGCCCAGATCAGCTTCTAGCTTGGCCTGCACTGGTCCTTTATGTGCCCTTTTGGGCATTTTGAGAAAGGATGCTGAGGAGCCATTTCTGGTATATTTTTCATTTTTTATACCTTTTGACTGAAACTAGATTTCCTGGAGCAGACTGTGTAGTCTGTGTAGACTATGTAGTTCCGTTCTCCTTCCCCCACCTCTAGTTGAGCTGGTTGGTGATAACTTTAGGGGAGAATATTTGGAGGTGAAGGGAGATGGGAGGTTCTTGTGCCTGTCAACCCATTACAGTTTTGGCAGCATTAGAGTGGGTAAAAGCACACACAAGATATGAATAATAAATAACTTTGTTTTAAAAAATGCAACAGATCTGGAATCGGTTGCCCCACTTGAAGGCTGTGGTGCTATATAAGGACTCCATTGCAGAGAGACATCCAAATTTGTACACGGTGAGTGAATACTAGAACAGAGGCATAACCAAATAATGCATGGGTTATACCTATTATTAACTGTTACCAGTTAATATGTGGGCTGTTATTTATTTGATACATTTTTCCTGTGATTATCTGCCCTTTAGAATGCATTGCTGTGTTCCAGCAAACACATTCAAAAGCTTTATCAGCTTTATCTGTTCAATTTACCTTTGATACTTCACATTTAAGAAAAGGGCTACCTTGCTTTACTGTCCGTCTTGTGTTTTCCTAATTTTTAACTTGACTGGGTTGTTAAAACACCTGTAGGTTTTAGGTGGGAATGTGTACTCTCAAATGGTTAAAAAGAAAAAGTTACTTCCTGGTGCCTGTGAATTTGGTTGTTTTTTTTTTAATCCAGTATTTTAACTGGACTACAGATCAGATTTTAGGCTGAAAAACTTCAGCTGTTGAAAAAATATATTGAAGAGAAATATAATGTATTCAGTATATAAAATTATAATGAACAGTGATAATACTTCCAATTTTGATAATCTGACAAGAAAAAAGTCTTCTGTGCCTTTTTAAAAATATCTTGCATATAACTTAATAATAAACTGTTATTGTTCCAATACTATATATACTGGCATAGAGCATGCTTTGCATCTTGTACAATAAAAATGTTAATACAAAGATCTTTTACTATTTAAAAAGATTAGGTGTTAGCATTTAATTCTTGAAAAACTTGCACTTACTGAAATCTAAATGTGTGAGAATTGCTGTATTTTTAAACGCTGGTTCAGTGTTCAGGTGTCATGTTGGACATTTTCTCAGAGGAGCCAGTGTGTCTGACAGGTGCCATAGTTTGTCATCTAAAGGAAAAATGAGAGATCAGATCACCAGAGGCAGAAATTATTGCTGCTGAGCTGTGATGTGGAGCAAAGCACCAGCCCACGCAGTGTTTGATGGAAGGGCTTTGTGCCGTGTGACGAGCGGCAGCAGAGGCAGAGCTGGCTAAGCAGTGCGTGTTTCCAGAAGGCAAATGCAGAGTCAGGAGTGTGGTGTGACTGTTTCTGTACCCTCTGCACTTGCTGGAATGCCAACACCATCTGTTACAGGTGCTGTTCTGTAAACAGAGCCTGCACAACAGATTCTCAGTGATCAGTGCATTCCACTGTGAGAATACAGTATGGTCAGGAAAGCAGGAACAACTGCTTAGTGACATACAAACAATTACGTCCTTCACACCACCAGGCTTTCCAGGAACTTGTGAAATTGATGCAGCCACATTCTGTGGGGAAGCAATAGAATGTGACAAATCCCTGACTTGCTACAGAGCTGTGAAGTGCCTCTCTTTTTAGAGATGTGGTTTGTTGGAAGAAAGTATAAAACTGATGAATAATCCTTGGGGCAGCCTTGCCACCCAAGAAAAGGAGGTTAAGGTGCCACAGACGCTGACTATTGTAATCTTAGTAGCCCAGTGGCAATGCCAGATGTCTGAAAGAAGAAATGAACTACCCTCAAGCAGAGGCTCTCCTTTTTTACCTCTGTTTTTCTCATCATCTCCATTACTGCTTTGTGGTCCTAGATATTGCTCCAAGAAATTGCTGAAAAATGACGGTGCTGCACCTTGCAAATAAATATTACACTTCTGTAGCACAGTATGAATCACATTATTGCAATGGGAAACTGACCATTTGGTTATCCATTTTCTTTTAAAATTCTGTGATACTCTAGCTTCTAATTAGCATTGCAAGCAATGTTACACTTAACAGCACATCAGGGGTGTGCAACAGAAGTATTGGGGAGCAACCCATGTAATACAGAGGAGCAGGTTCAGGATTCTTCTAGGCCAATTTGTGTGGTACAAAAGCCCAGTGTTGTAAAAGTTTTATCTCACTCTAGAATGAGGCACATTTGAATGGAAGTTGTGACCAGCATCATCATATGCTGTTTCCTATAAAAGAGCACATAATTTGGGCAAATATTCACATATCTAGATAATGATGTTTTTACAAAGAGGCTTTTGTTCAATTGCTTTATAGTTATATTTATATAATGTACAATGAATTATAGATGAGCTATCACAAGTGTACTTTTAAAAATTATGCATCCAGATTCCTTTAAATAATACTCAAAATCATTCTTATGGTGTGAGAATGTAACAGTTTTAGCCTCCATACTTATCCATAGTGTCCACGTTGGAGGAGGAACAGTATTACTATTCCTTCTTAGACACTGAAAAGACTCATGACAGCACAATTTTAGATGGTCTGTTTGCAATTCACACATTAAGCTCTAAGGTAGACTCACCATATTTCTTCCATAGCCAAGGTCTGGGGAAACTTGCTTTGGACATGTGTTCAGAACAAGGCACTGAAATGTTCTAACATTTTTGAGACAGGAAAGATGCAGTACCGTGTCAATTTGTAGGAAGCCATTTGGTATCTGTATTTTCTCTTCCATGTTCTAGATGGAAGAGTTTCTGGAGCTGGGAGGTGACGTCTCTGACAGTACTTTGGATGACATTATTAACTCCCAAAAGCCGAATCAGTGCTGTGTTCTGATATACACCTCTGGAACAACTGGGAAGCCAAAAGGAGCCATGCTGAGTCATGACAACGTAGGTACTTAAGGCACCTCCTGTAGCAGAGGAACAGCAAAGTGTGGGGATATTTTTTCTTGTGGTTTGAAGTGGCTGGTACATCCTAGAGCCCTGAAATGCTTTTGCTTTTACAGTGTGGATACTATACTGCAAAGCAAAGGGCAGTCAGCTGTTTCTGGTAAAGTACAAACAAGGGAAAGAATGAAACTCCATTCAAACAGCCCTTCACAAAGTTGAACAGTTCTTTATGAGTATGAAACTTTTATTCGCTATATTTCTTGTGAGATCTAATGCATGAATTCATAAATATAATTCACAGATTGCCATAAAGTCTCTCAAATGAATGTCATAGGTCACCATGAAATGAGCAAATCATCTACATCAGCCAGCTACTATCAAAACAGTCTGCTTTTGCAGATTTTATTAAAATTGGGGGTGGATGTGTTTCACTTTGGTGTTTTTTGTTCCTGGACTTGTGTGCAGGTTTCTATGTCTGTCACTGGAGTATAATACAGCTCCAGTGCTCAGTGCTGGTGCTGACAGTAACGCTTACCTGTGTTGTTGCAAACAGAAAGTTCACAGTTAGAGACAAAAGCAAAGTTATTTGCTAAAAAGACTTTCCACAGAGGTTTCCTTGGAAAGATATGTGTTTGATGGCTGAGAAGGAGTGGAAGGTGGTAGGGAGCCTTTCTGAATAAACAGAGAATCTTTGAAAAGGGATGGTCTAAGTTGAGGCCTCACCCCTTAAAGCAGAAATTATTGCACACATGCACAATGTGAAAACAGCAATTCACCCAAATGTAGGGAATTAATGCACTAGTACCTGGAAGCAGAACATATGAACTTGGGAGACAAAAAGACTGATTCGATGTTACAAATCTATGCTCTTTTATATCAAAGGAGTCTGGTGTCATTTCCATGCCAGCTGCCAAACTATTCTTGGCTGCTGATCACAAACAGGCTATTTTTATGTTGACAAACAGTGGAAAGCATGCCATGCCTGTAGCTCTGCTGCTGCCTTCTTTAGTCAAAGATGTTTGCCACTGTTCATGTGCAAAACCAGTGCTGAGTCAGTCCTGCATGACTCTCACAGATCTGCTGTGTGTGCCTGTGTGCTGTGAAGCTTGAAGTAAAAGCAATGAACACAGACACATCTTAAAGACATCCTGTTCTTCCTACTGTGTGTCTCCCACAGCTGCTTGTCCAGCACTGCCACCTAAACTTGGATGGCCTGGCGGTATTCTGCTGAATTCTGCTGCTCCTTAAAACCCTCTCTTGAGAATCTCTATTTCCTTAGGCCAAGCCTACACTTGTACCTTCTAATTTATTACAAAGGAATGTGCTGTGATAACAGGAATACATGTGGTTTATGTCTGTACTCTGCCATCTTGAATACTCTCATTTCTACATCCTGCACTACCCAGTTTAGATTACAGACTCCTCTGAGGAAGAGCTGTTTCTTTTTGTTATTTGGGGTTTTCTGGTTTGCTTGGGTTTTTTTTTAGGGGGTGTTGTTTGTTTTGGTTTTTATATTTGTGCACATATATCTTCTCCATTGTCTCTCACACCGTCACGTATATTTATGCGTCTTCCATATGCTATGTTCTGATGATGAAGGTATGCATATTTAGCATTCTTGAGCTGCATCTTCTGAGATAAAGTGGGAAATAGGAGGAAGGAGGGGGAAACATGATCCAGGTTCACTAAGAAGTCAAGCAACACAACTTCAAAACTATTCATGTATGTGCTGCCTCTCACGAGAGGCATGGGCATGTATGTGTCACTTGGGAACCACTGCAGTGAATATCCCAGAGGCTTCCAGAGGAACAGAGTGCAGCTGCTATCTTCCTCCTGAGAGCTTAGCCAGGGCATCATCAGTACCAGACAATGAGCTTGTGGCTGATTCTAAATTGTTCTTTGAGCTCACTGATCACTGAGTATTTATTGTTCCTTTTCTAACTTGTATTGGAGTGGACCAGTATTACTGACAGGACTGCCTTGGTGTGTCTGGTTCCAGCTGCTGACCGAACAGCGGCCCTGTGCTCCTTCCTCCCCAGGGACGCTGTTCAGTGCCTGTGGTCACACTGGGCACGTGGGGACAGTCCGGGCGTGCCCCGAGCTCCAGTGCCTGCGGCTGGAGCTCGCTGTGAGGGGGTCACTGCTCTGCCTCCCTGAGCTGGAGGAACCTTTGAGGCGAGGTGAAGAAAGGAGCGGGTCCCGGTGGAGAGTTTTTAATCCAGAGTTTTTATTTTGGTGGCACGGCCTCTGAATTCTGCAACAACTCCAAGAGCACTCCCGACCGCCCGCGTGGTGTGCTTCCCTTTTACCTGGGGAGAGGGGCAGGGGAGGGGACCCAGGGAGCACCAACCAGGTATGAGGGGACGGGGGCTCAGGTGAGAGGGACACCTGGGTGGGCCAATGGCCCCCCAGGGTTGGAGAGCATCCTTTGAACCTGCCAATCACTCGACGCTCCCCTTGGAATTTCTGGGTTGATAGTCAGTGTCCAGCCGGGGTCAAGGGTGGGGAAAGGAAAGGTGATTGACACCCCACCTGGGGAAGGAAATTTCAGGGAGGAACCAGAGGAAACTGAGGCAAGTCATGACATCACACCGCAACAAACTTGCAGATACAGCACTGATGGAAGGTGCCAGTTTAATAGAAAGCTTGCAGAGCTGGAGAGTTGGAAAGGAAGGGACAGATCAGTTTCATCCATCCAGCCCATGGCTGCCTGGCTGTGTCACTAGGGCATGGGGAGCTGATAGTGTTCACAGCTCAGTCAGGCAGCACAAATGCTGTATTTACTTATGTTATCTGCTCTTCTGTATTGCTGCAAAGGTAATCTGTCTTTTGGCAGTGTCCCCAGGGAACTGGCCAATATTGCAATGTCTTTCTGTGAGCACAGATTTTTCACAGTTTCATTAGCGTAGCAAGAGGATAACAAGTTTGTGTTAAGAGGAAGAGAAAAACCCAACCCAAAATCCCGACCATACCTAATTTGTTGTATTATTTATTTAAACAGATAACTTGGACATCAGCCCATTGCAGCAGAGCAGGAGGTATGCATCCTGCAGAGGTCCAGCAGGAGTCTATAGTCAGTTATCTCCCACTCAGCCACATAGCTGCACAGATCTATGACCTGTGGACTGGAATCAAATGGGGAGAGCAAGTTTACTTTGCTGAGCCAGATGCTCTAAAGGTACCTTGTCTTGCATTATATCTAATTAAGGTTACACTTCTTTCTCTTAGAAAACATCCCAAGGAGAGAATATGATATTTGAAAAGTTGTAGAGGATGAAGATGGAGAGTCCATTATTGTGAGAGTTATGGAAAAATAAAGCTCATTGTGTTTGTGATCCAGTGCTCTAGATTCTAATTAAAATATATAATTCATATTCATAAGGTTCTTTTAAGGCAAAAGAAGTATAAGCAGTTTTTGGAGAAAAGGGAGGCTGGAGGAACTAACCGTGTGTGTTTTTCCTCCTTGTGTGCATACCTCCTCCAGTGTGTCAGTCTGACACATATTAGTGCATATGGGTGACTGAAGTGGGCTCAGCAGCCCTTCTTTATGTTCTGCATATTCTGATGTTCTACAGAATGAAACATTCAGGTTTTACTTCACCAAAGCTCTTTATCTCTGCTGTGTGCCTTTTGTTGAAATTATTTCATTATTATAACAGGGCAGCTTGATCAACACACTAAAAGAAGTGCAGCCAACATCTCATATGGGAGTTCCCAGAGTATGGGAGAAAATCATGGAGAAGTTAAAGGATGTTTCTGCTCAGTCAGGATTTATAAAGAAGAAAATGCTTTCCTGGGCTATGTCACTTAGCTTAGAGAGGAACCTGAACGGCTCAAACAGGTGTGTCATACAATGAGTGAGATTTCCAGCAAGCTGAAAGTAGCAATTTGCTTGTAATAACCCATGAAGCCTCAGTGAGACTCTGTATAAGTGGGTAAAATCTGTCTTGGCAACACAACAAATACAGTGCTCGGGGGAGGGTGTAGTTATCAATTGTTATTGATATTAATTGTTTTACAGTGGAGTGGGGGAAATTTCTTACGCAGAATGGCATTCCAAATATCATTCCATGATATTCTTTTGCTCATCTTATCATTCAGTTTCTCAGATAGATCTTGCAAATTTCAGATTTCGATGGTGTAGGTTCTCAGAGACACATTTAACTGATAAAAAAATCAGGAATACAAGTGCTATGTTGTATACAATCTGTTTTTATAGATTCTTTATCTATTTGTTGAATTCAGATACCTCAAGAGTTGGAGGTAGGAAAGCTCCAAAGGTAGAAGAAATGAAAGACACCGAATAAATGAAAGAAGGATGAATGTAACACCTTACCTCATGTTCTAACTTCTGTCAACATCCAAAACCAAATGACAAATACATGTCCAAACAAAATCTCTCCCTGATTGTGTTTTGAAAACTTCCTAGGTTGCTCTGACTTACTTGTGTATTTTGTACTCAGCAGTGATCTAAAGCAGCTCTGGACAAGATTAGCAGACTACTTAGTGCTTGCGAAAATCCGTAGTGCCCTGGGGCTTTCTTCCTGTCAGAAGCACTTTTCTGGTGCTGCTCCTCTCAATACAGAAACACTGTATTTCTTCCTGGGTCTGAACATCACTCTGTATGAGGCCTATGGGATGAGTGAGACCACAGGCCCACATTGCCTTTCTGGGCCTTACATTTACAGGCAGCACAGGTAATTTTGCTTTTATTACTATTTTTTTTAATATGATCAGTTTAATTTTATCTATGAAAAAAGTATTTACTAAGGTCAGCAAAGATACTGCAGCTTATTTTATTTTCCCTGAGTGCACTGTCACTCTGTTGTGACTTTGGGAGTCAGAATAACTTCCAGGTCAGAATTTGAACAGGTTGACTCCATAGCACACTGTGGCAGAAGCACTGAAACTGAGGTGTAGCATTATAGCCACAGTGACTACATCTGACGTATACCACAGCCCTTGGCCAAGGGAGGAATGCAAAACCTCAAAACCAAAAATGGTTTTATGCCTGCAGATACAGGGGGGCAAAGCAGCAAGCACAGGCCGAGACAGACTGCCAGAAAGTGCTCAGACACCTTGATAAATCTGCCCTAGTGAAGGAGTATTCCGTGGCTGTTGGACAGTTACAACATGATGATAATTGCAGTCACAGATACTTTGACAGTTTCAGGGATTTGGCACGTTGGCCAGCTTATCAGTATTATATTTGATGTTTCTGTGATCCTTGTGGGGTTTTTCTGCTCTTCTCTGGTAGCTGTGGTAAACCAGCACCTGGATGCAGAGTGAAACTGGTGGACAAAGATACGGAAGGCAATGGAGAAATCTGTTTCTGGGGAAGGACTGTTTTCATGGGTTATTTAAATATGGAAGACAGAACAAAAGAAGCCTTTGATGAGGAGGGGTGGCTGCATTCTGGAGATTTAGGAAAGCTAGACAAGGATGGCTTTCTCTATGTCACTGGAAGAATTAAAGGTAATAGGCAAAATCTTGCTCTCTGTTTATGGTAAATGTTCAGCACTATTCAGTCATCTCTCAGTTGTAGTCCATCTCATGAAGTGTCTTTCCTCTAATACTGGCAGCCTTGCTCTAACAGGAAGGTAAAATAAACTTTCCTGTGAGAAAACCAAAGTGTGCTCTGTGTTCAGGGAAGGTTTCCCTCTAGTCTAGTAGGTGGAGATGATCCAGTTCATACAACCAGGCTTTTCATCTCCCACACCTTTACTCAGTGTTAATTACAATTAGCAATATAAACTACTAACACAGGTTTCATGTGTCATGTTTGATTTGAATGATATCATTAAGCTGTCCAGTCTCCCTTTGAATCTTGCCAGTGTCTTAATTGCACATTAGAATGTTTAGGCAGGAAGGGGGGGCACCCTCTGCTACAGAGACATTGGTGCTGTAGGTCACAGGTTGGTTCCTCTGGTGTCTTAGGTTAAGTGTTTGCAGAGACCAGAGCTGAAGCTTGAGAGCAGAAGGGAAAGCTACAGCTGAAGCCATGCACTTGGATGTTACTACAGGACACTGGCTGAAGGCTCATGAGACTGAGACTAGTCATGTGCTGACTTGGAGGCTTTCTTCATGGTACATATTCAGACAGTGGGATTGGTCACAGGCAAGATGTAACTGAGGAAGATTTAAGAATTTAGTAGATATCATCTTAGAATTTAAGATGAATCACTATGGAGGTAACACAGATGAGTGAATTCGTCACAGGTGGCATCATGTCCTGCTAGGAGTCAGGACTGAAGTTGGTACTATTAATAGCCTGCACGAAATGCAGCTGTCTTGATTTTAACTTTTCTTGTCTGATTCATTTTCCTTTAGCACAGCAGCATCAACCCCTTGTCTCAATTCATAACATTTGTGTTTCTCTTATATCTGTCTGGATTGCTGAACTAACAGCAGTTACTCTAAATTACAGGATAGGTAGACAATCCGGGATAAAATAACCATATGTCCAGTTTCATTGAAGTTTTAAATCCAAGTTCAAACAAGGACAATGAAAAATTAAGGGCCAGAAAGATTGGTAGAGGATCTGAGACAAAGACGGACTATTACAAAAGGAGGGTGGAATGAAAGGAAAAGTTAGACCTAGAAAAGTGTGTCTGTGTTATTTGTTGAAGCGTGTTCTGAACTGCTGAAAGACAATTATTTGAGGACAATTGGAAGTCAGCAGTATAACAAAAGCAAAAAATTGCAATTTACTTAGAGAATACTCAAGTTTGTAATAATTTTATGGAATATATATATTACACTTGTTAAGAACAATTGTTGCTTTTATCAAGCCTTCCTCCAGTAGTAACTTATTTTTGTCTGACCCCTCTTGGTGGATTTAAGAATTGGTTTTAATCATTATAACAATGAACTTGCCTTTTGGTGAGATAGCGACAATAGAATAGCGGGTGAATCCTATGCTAATTTGGAAGAGATGATCTCTCAAAGAAAACTTCCAATTATGTAACAGTCCCTCGAGAATGTAAAAAATATCTGGTGCAAATATACTGAGGGAGATCTGAGAACTTGAGCACACGTTTGAAAAATAGTAGCATTTTTGTTTTGAAGGTATTAATAGGATTTGTGGTATTTGAAAATTATTATCTTGGGAAAAAATCTTGTATTTTTTATGTCAGAATAAGAAGAGCAGGTTTGAGCCAGACATGAACCTGACCTCTGGAATTAATTTGAATTCAACTAATAGCCTTTCTTTTTTTGCCTAGATTTGATTATTACAGCTGGAGGTGAAAACGTGCCTCCAATTCCAATTGAAGATGCTGTTAAAAAAGAACTTCCAATTGTTAGTAATGCTATGGTTATTGGAGATAAGAAGAAGTTTTTGTCAATGTTCCTGACCCTAAAGGTAAACCAGTTTTAATATTGCCTTCAGTAAAGTTATACACCTGCACCTAACAAAAGAATAATAATTTTGAACCATTTGTAAAGAGACCTAAAATTAAATTAGGAAGATGTTAGCAGGGGGAAAAAACATGTAGCAACTACAGACAAATCCTGATGGGTCTAAACTTAGGGTTACCTGATCTGCTAAACACCCACATATTTAGTGCTGTTTCTTCTACATGTACAATAAGAGGTATTTTCTATTTAAATGCAAATTTTTATATAAGAAATGCTGGAAGATTGAGAAGTCTTTGTAACAGAACACAACAATAGCTTTTATGCTTACAGATGAGCAAAACAAATGTTTCTGTTATGGGAAAATCCAGAAACCTTCCAACAGAAACATTTCTCTACAATTTGTTATTTTTATAATACAAGAATGATGACCATGGAACAAAATAATTAATAGCCTTGCTGTGGTATAGGCTTCAGTAGAGAAATCACTGTTCTCCTAAAACATTTGCACTTCAGTTATGTGAACATACCTAATAAATGCCACTTAGGTGTTTTGAAGTTGTTTACCTCTATGACTGATAATCCCTATCTTCAGGTACAACAGAAGTACTAATTTAAGAAGTCTAGGAACATTTCTATCTCAAGCTGTTTACATTACACCATAATAATTCCATTGAGCGATGAGCTAAATGTTTCCCTGTAACAATGGAGTCATTTGGAAAATATGGCAGAAATTCAAGGTCAGAGATGGATTCTATGGCCTAATTCATTCCCATGTTTTAAGTCTGTTCATGACATCTGCATATAAGCCAAAAATATTTGCATTTGGTAGCCAAGTGGAAAGAAAAGCCCTTTATGATCTGTAGGTGTTTCTGCTTTTTAAGGCTTGCAGAATGCTTGTGTGTTTATCCTGAGCCTTCTTCCCGAAGGGGAGGGCCTGGTCAGAGAACCCGGTAATGCCTTTTAAGAGTGAATGTTTAATGATGTCACTTCATTTGATATTTAGAGTGTGCTGGACCCAGATACATCTGATCCTACTGACATTCTCACAGAGCAAGCCAGAGACTTCTGCCAGAGGAGTGGTAGTAAAGCCACCAAAGTGTCCGAGATTGTAGCTACAAGAGACCAGGCGACCTACAGAGCCATCCAGGAGGGAATCGACAGAGTCAACAGCACTGCTACCAACAGGGTTCACTGCATCCAGAAATGGATCGTCCTGCCAAGAGATTTTTCCATTTCTGGGGGAGAACTAGGTAAGACTTACTGATTTATCTTGAGGTACACAAAGTTAAGAGGCTGCTGATCTAAGAAGATTCAGTACAGGAGGAAAAAATGGATATGCAGTGTGTGGTAAGCAATACAAAAATTGTAGTTTTTGCTGTGCACACATTTATGCGTCTGTGTCATTTGCATGTAGAGCTCTTAAATTTCAGATTGTCTTGGGTAATTAAGCAATTTTGGTTAATTCCATGTACATTAAAGTGTTAATAACTTTCAGTAATAATACTGAAAATGATGCCTGGAATGGCTACCTAAAACAGAGGCTAGACAGAGTTAAAAAGAGAAAGGGTAGGTTTTTCTTGAAAGGCCTTCAGAAGGCACACCTCGGGCAGTGCAGGAGTGTCACACACTACACCCAAGATGGATAAGCCTCGCATGTTTGGACAGATGTAAGTTTGGTCTGTTTGCATATTGGAGCTTAATGTCCAGTTACAGCTTCGGGTAGTGGAGTCTCATTCCCCTGGTTTGCCCCCCCACACTTCACTGTAGTTTACATTTTTCAGGGCCTGTGAAAAAAAGGTAACCTTGGGTTTCAGGCCTAGAGAGAAACTTTTTTTTCAGAATAAAGTGGGAAAACAGTAGCTGACAGGCTATGGAGTTTGAGAGCTATACACTAAAGCTATACACTAAAACTGATTTCCAGTTTTCTGATCTGGAAAACATAAAAGCTAAAACTTAAGGCATCAAAAGTTTCTCTTTAAAAGAAAACAACAAAAAAAAAGCAGCAAGCTAGTGAAAGCCTGATAATGGAGCACAAAGCACATTACCAGGCTCTTTGAACAAACTGGGAATTGGTTAAAAGCTTCCAAAAACATATTTTTAGCAAAAAAATAGTAGCCAGTTACCACCTTCTTATCTGCAGCTCCCTTTGGAAGTCCTCATGCTTATGTGGAGGCAACCTCACATATCACACTTGCTTCTCACTTTTAGCATTTATCTGTGCTTAGAGGGGGGCATGTTCTTCCCAACAGGCTCTTCAATAAAAAACTCGGGCACCAAAGCTCAAACTGAGTAGGAATTTTTGTTCCTATTTCTGGAATTGATTCTCCCTCTTTTAAGGTCCCACAATGAAGCTGAAGCGGCTCGCTGTGCTCGAGAAATACCGAAATGAAGTAGACTCCTTCTATAAAGAATAAAAAGTGTTTCCTCCAAGCATTAAGATCTGTGAACAAAAGGAAGTATTTTCTCATCAAAAGCATTAACAAAGATTTATGCTTTAAGTTTGTAGTCTATTGAACCAAACCACTAGAAAGCTGCTGTCAATTTAGCTTTTCTTGATACTCACCTTATCATTTGTCCTCTTTTTACAGAAGCATCTACAGTGTGTCCATTGTCTAATCTACTTTTACTTTATGACCTTAATGACTAAAACATCTTTCTGTGTTATATAAAGCAGATATAACTAATTCCTCTAGATTGAAACATAACAAGTTTTTTATAGTCTTCCATTTTTCTTTTTTTTTTCTTCTGTTCTACAGGATGTTTCCTGTAGCTCATGATATATTTTGCTAGATAGCAGTACTGCTTAATGAAACTGTCATACCACTCCAGTGAGATTAAAAAAAAAATTAAAAAATCTGAAGGGCTGGGAATTTTTTTCCCTTCCCAGAGAACACTTTCTTGGTCACTAAGACATTTCAGAACCTGAAGACATTCTTGTTTCTATAATGCCTAGAATTCAGACCAAACACAGCAGTTTGCTTCTTAAGTCCATGTTGGAATAAGCATTACTATTTATTGTAAAAACAAATAATCAGAAGAAGTAGGGGAATAGCTCCCTAAGACTGAAAGGCACGAAGGAATAACGACAGGAGCTCTCACATTTAAATGCTATTACAGACACTTCTTTAAAATTGTTTACAGTGCTTTTCTTTGAGCAGTGTTTGTCAGTGTGTATCTGCATGTTTCAATATTCACATTGCACTAATTCTGACAAATGTGGACTGTATTTCTTCTTACCCATATGCAAAATAAATCATATTATGAGAAGGAAATGCTTGGCACAAAGTTGTCTGAAGGGTGTGCTGTAAGTGATCACTGGCAGACAGCTCGAGTAGCTCACACAGCTAAGGCAGGCCACAGCCCGTTATTGAGACGAAGAAATGATGCAGAACAGGATAAGGTTTCCATAAAAGTTCCATTACCAATCTCACACATCTTACAGACCTAAGATTTGTTGCAAGTACCAGTAATCAGCTCAATATATAAGACAAAGCAGCAGCCTAGGATTATAAAAACAAAACGAGCACTAGGACTTCGAAAAGTTTATTCTTCCCCATTTTGTGCGCAATGGTAATTCAGAATTTCTTTAATATTAATCTGAAGGAAACAAGGAAGCAGCAGCTGGGAAAACACAGAAAGAAATGTTGCCCTATTCACAAAAAGCTGAGTGTGGGAGGAATAAATCTCCTCCAGCATGTTGTTAGACTATATAAAAAAGCTGGGATGCTTACTTTAGAGAGTAACACAAAAAGTTGTTACTCCAAAGTTGTTTTACTTCTGAAACAACCAGCCCTAAACAGTCATAATAGATATTACTCCACTTAGTTACTTTCTATGAATAGAACGAAGCTGTAAGAAGCCTGCTTCTGGCAGGAGGGATAATACTGTGCTATACTAACGAGTTTGAAAATACATATTTACTTGTCAGCTGCAGGAATGGAAGCAATACCTTGATAGTTACAGATCAGAATGACTCGAGTGACAATCTGATAGGGAGAGGAAGGGAGGGCAAAGAGTTGCTTTTGCACCCATTAAGCTTAGTAAGCAAGGAAAAAATAGATTCAGATCCCCTTGAATAGGGATGAAATGTATTTCTGGAACATAGGCACCAGAGCCAAACCGCTGATCTGTCTTAATCCATTTAGGACTTGTCTTACATTCAGAGATTCTAGAATAAAATTATTAGTCAATACAGCAAGACACACTGAACACACTGTGCAGAAACTACAACACAAAAAGCATTCTAGCTGAAGTCATGAAATATTTAGTGTAAATTTGCAAAGTTAATACTTTTCCTTCACAATATATGGTGGAAGTGATTTTGTATTGTTTGTTTGCCCTCATTATAACTCTATTGTAAAGTGTGTTTCAGAGAGGAAAACTTATAAGAATTGTTTTGGTATATCGATTTGAAAAATAACTTTACTTCAGCATTAATTTTCACCCCTTGTTAATGATTGTAGTTATTTTTTAAATACAGAAATAGATTAACTCTCTAGAATTTTGTATTTCTTAATTCATGCTTTTTGTGGGCAGGGCTGTATTTCATGAATCATCAGAGTATTAAAGCGGTTTTCTTGTTGCTTCTAACACAAAATTGCTATTTTAAGTTATTTTATACCCGTTTCTGTTCATGAAGATCATCTTGTGCTACTCCTAGTCTGAAAACCTATCTTTTTAATTTCAACAAGAGCAATAAAGCAGGTTTTAAACATTAAGGTGCATTTATATTTCACTAATCTGTTACTGGTTTGTTTGCGTAATTTTTCTATGTGGAAAGTAAAACCCTCTAATTGAAACGGAAAATATTAGACAGTTACAGTGCCAGTAAAGGAATTCACTTACATTAAAATGTTCACCAGATAGAAAAAATAAATAAAACAAAGCACTTGGAAAAGTCCACCGAAAGCAGGCACAAGCATCATTTGTAGCCATTTGGACTAGATTTATTAATGGAGAGGCCTCAGCTAAAAAGTTTGCTCTCAAGAGATAAGCAAACCCTATGCATGTAGGTATCAGGTTACATATGTTGTACTCTGTGACATGTCCTTCCAGAGTCCTCAGCAGGAGGAAGAGGAGGAGGAGGTTTAGTCTTTGTCCCGTACTCGGCGGCAGATCTCCTCTGTGAATTCTGAACACTTAGCATTGCCTCCCAAGTCTTTTGTCAATACCTGAAAGAAAGAAAGAAAAAATATAGTGTTACTGAAATTATGTTATGGGGCCAGTCTTGTCTCTGAACAATTCCGGATGTTCTCAGGATATGCTGTCTATAGCTGGTAAATAAGGTGAGCAGGAATACATCAAGTTCGAGTTCTGCACCCCACAGAGACTTCGTCAAAAAGGACTGTGCAGGGAGAGAAAACCTGAGTATACATGAAGTACTTATGTTACCAGATTTGAACGTGATTTTAACATGATTTTATCCTAACTACAGGAATAAAGTGTGTGTGGTCAAAGCTCTACAAAGTGCTTTAATGGTGTAATTAATGATTAAGTATTTACATCTTCAGTAAGAAGTTTGTCCTTTGGAGGTAAAATTCATATATGAAGGCTAAGCATAAGGACAACTAATTGAGAGTAATTCAGAAAAATTGGGTCTTTTTTTCACAAAACCCATGCAGAACAAGCACACATAACTCTTAATGCTGCATGTTAACAATTCTCAAAATTTGCTTTGTTTATTTAAGAGAGAGGAAATGTAGAGTTCAAAGTCTCTTTCATCAAGTACAATTACTGTCTGGCATCACGAAGACAGTAAAATAAAAAGTGGGGAACATTACTAGCTAGATTAAAGCACTCTAGGAGATAATTAAAATTATTCGTTTCCCTCCCATACACACATATCTTAATTAACTTGTTGAGCAATCATGGTTACTATTTTAGGATCTTGTAATTTAAATTGCATTGTGGGGCTTTTCAATTAAAAGGATTGTATCCATTGTGAGCATATAATTGTAACATTGTAAGTAGCCATGTCACGAAACTTGCACTGTTATCTTCCATGGAATTACTGACCTGCAGATGGAGGATATCATTCCCAGAGCAGTACATGGGAACTTTTCAGGAGGACCTCTTTATTCAGTTGTAAGTTTACATTTTTTTAACTGGCTCCTACATACAGCAAGATAGCTGCAAACTTACAAAATTATGACAACTTTTGGTTTCAGCATTCTTGTTTTTAATTAAAAAGCAGCTTCTCACGGTCCTGCCTAAAATAAACGAACCAGCATGACTAGCTAATCCTCTTTAA